CGCTTTGCAACATGTGGGGTTCCCGCCATCCCTGTTGCATTTTTAATGTATTTTATATTGTGGAGAATGTAACAGGAAGAGCTGAGATTGACAATGGAGAGAGGTGTCCCGGTTGTTGCACACTTCACCCAACCAGGTGGAAGCTGCCTCAGCTTGCTCCATAAAGGTCACACACCCCCAACGCGTTTCGTCCCTGCTCGGGGGATTAACCATGGAGGGACCCCTAAGCATTATCAGGTTCACAGGGGAACCTGACTGTATACCACTGGTTCTCATTCAGTGGTACTAGGGGGATACATCTGAGGGAATCTGGACTACTATTCCCAATAAGTTCTTTAACAGTTTAAAAAAGTATAAAATATAATAAAACTTCTATATAAAATGGATATCAATATATAGATTTTCACTAACCACTTCCTGTCCGGCCGCTGTATATAAAATGACGGTGGCAGTACAGGGGCGGGTTGCCGTTCATAAATGGCGCCCGGCGTTTTGGATTGTGCGCGCTCCCTGGGAGCGCTCAGCATCACGATCTGGTGCCCGCTGTGTACTCCGGACACAGCAGAACACCGATCACTGTACGGGACCTCTGTGTGAGGTCCCGATCATGTGATCACTGATTGGCCAATCAGTGATCACATGAATAGGTATAAGCAGGATGTCACTTCTGACATCATTGCTTACTACTTGTGAAATCTGTGAATGATCACAGAGATCACATGGTACAAGGCTATTCACAACAGCCTTGTACCATGTGACAAGCTGTGACCAATCACAGCTCACACAGTTTTTCTCAATGGCTGCAAGAATGCAGCCAGAGAGAAGGAGAAATTATTGCTTTTACAGCCTTTATGGGTGTAAAAGCAATCAGTGTAAAAAAAAAAAATCTTCATCACCCCCCACAAGTAGTACCGTGTCACCATGGTGACACTGTACTGCTAGGGAGACAGTATGTTAAAAAAAAACATAAATAATAATATAAAAAAATAAAATAAAAATGTTTTAAAATTATAATTTTTAGTTATAAACTAATGTGGGTTATTTTTTTTACTAAAAAGATATCTGAACAAATTTTGGCCAAGATTTATAAAGAAAGACTTTTTATTTGAAAAATTTTATAAGAAAAAACACTTTTTCTCAAAATTTTTGGACTTTTTCATTTATATAGCAAAAAAATTTAAATCCCAGTGGTGAATAAATACCACCAAAATAAAGTTTTATCTTTCTCAAAAATATGCTAAAAAATTAATATGGGTACAGTGTTGCATGACCGCGCAATTGTCATTCAAAATGTGACAACGCTGAAACCTGAAAATTGACCTGGGCAGGAAGGGGGTGAAAGTGTCCGGACTTGAAGTGGTTAATATAATGGATCATTTGGAAATGATGATAAATGTCCTTGCCTCCAGGGGTAATTGACATACAAGGACTATTCAGTAAACTTTGGCTTTATTAACCATTAGCCGCCCGGCCAATGGCCGTTTGGCGGCTTCAAAAGTGTCTCTGCACTCCGGGTGCACGCCATGTGGCGTGCTCCCGCACATGCGCAGTTGACCAATCACAGCAGGTCACATGACAGTTGTATACAATGGATGGCTTCATTCATGATGCCATCCATTGTATACTACTGCCTAGCTGTGAATGGTCACAGCTAATCACATGCACATGTCATGTGATTAGCTGTGACCAAATCACAGCTAAGCACAAAAAAAAAAAAAAAAAAAAAGCTGAATGAATCGATTTCATTCAGGTAAATGCTTGCTTATAGCAAAGTAATTCTTTGCTATAAGCAAATTGTGTAAAAAAAATAAATAAATAAAATACTGATCACTTCCCCAAAGTAGTACAATGTTACTATGGTAACATTGTACTACTTTGGTCATAGTAAAATATGAAAAAAAAAATCTTAAAAAAAATTTAAAAAAATGTAATAAAAAATTAAATATAATAAAAAAATTAAAAAAAGTTAAAAAAATATATATATTTTTTTTTTCATACTGTCACCAGTCAGTGTCCCTGATCACCGCCATGCCAGTTATATGATGACGCTGTACTGCACTGGTGACAGTATGTAAAAAAAAAATAGTGAAAATAATTTTTTTAATTTTTTCATTTTCCGAAAAATTATGACAAAAAAATACAACTTCAAAAAACTCGCCATGCCTCTTATGAAGTACGTCGGACTGTCTACTCTGCAAAAAGGGGTCATTTGGGGGATATCTGTACTGTCCTGACATTTGGGGGATATCTGTACTGTTCTGACATTCTTGGACCTCAAGAAATTAGATTGGCTGTCAGTACTTCAGGATTGATCAATATTCAGATCTATACCATAGTTTGTGAACTCTATAACTTTCCTACAAACTAAATAATACATCCTAATTTGGGTTATTTTCACCAAAGACATGTAGCAGAATACATCTCGGCCTAAATCTATGAAGAACAATTATTTATTTGTAAACTTTTATAACAGAAACAAAGAAAAATGTGTTTTTTTTTCAAACTTTTTGGTCTTTTTTTGTTAATTTAGCAAAAAATAAAAACCCCAGCGGTGATTAAATACCAGCAAAAGAAAGCTCTAGTTGTGTGAAGAAAATGATAGTTTGGTACAATGTTGTATGACCGCGCAATTGTCATTCAAAGTGTGAGAGCGCTGAAACCTGGAAAATGGCCTGGGCAGGAAGGGGTAAAATTGCACGGTATTGAAACGGTTAAAGTTGAAAAAAACAGGTGTAAAAGCTTAAAGTCTGTGAATATTTATTTACTCCCGAAACAGCCAATTCCCAAAACGTTTCATAGCATGCATTGTGCACCACCATTGACGCTTATGGTATCCCAGGGCGCCTCCTGTTTCCCAAAAGGTCAATCCATCCGAAAGTGATATATCAGTGTTTGGTGGATGCCGAAGAGTTATAAGCCCCCTTACAGTCCCTTCTTTCTCTTGCGGGTTGTGTTCTTGTATCTGCACACCCGCTTTGCAACATGTGGGGTTCCCGCCATCCCTGTTGCATTTTTAATGTATTTTATATTGTGGAGAATGTAACAGGAGGAGCTGAGATTGACAATGGAGAGAGGTGTCCCGCTTGTTGTTCACCCAACCAGGTGGAAGCTGCCTCAGCTTGCTCCATAAAGGTCACACACCCCCAATGCGTTTCGTCCCAGCTCGGGTGCTTAACCATGGAGGGACCCCTAATCATTATCAGGTTCACAGGGGAAGCTGAGACACACAAAGATGGATGGGAACACCCATGACAAAAGCCAAGCCAGGAATTATAGCCGAGATCTCACAGTTGTAGCACTCAAGAAGCCAGGACTGACTTAGCTCACCAAGCTCCAACTGTAACTAAAATATCAACTTTGGGTAGAGTGATCTTAGGACACAACATCCTATCTGAGGCAATGAGAGTTAGATCAGCTTAGATGGACAATAGAGAGAGGTGTCCCGGTCGTTGCACACCTCACCTGACCAGGTGGAAGCAGCCTCAGCTTGCTCCATAAAGGTCACACACTCCCAACGCGTTTCGTCCCGGCCCCGGGGCCTAACCATGGAGGGACCCCTAAGCATTTTCAGGGACACAGAGAAAGCTGAGACACACAAAGGTGGATGGGAACACCCATGACAAGAGCAAAGCCAGGAATTATAGCAGAGATCTCACGGTTGTAGCACTCAAGAAGCCAGGACTGACTTAGCTCACCAAGCTCCAACTGTAACTAAAATATCAACTTTGGGTAGAGTGATCTTAGGACACAACATCCTATCTGAGGCAATGAGAGTTAGATCAGCTTAGATGGACAATAGAGAGCGGTGTCCCGGTCGTTGCACACCTCACCTGACCAGGTGGAAGCAGCCTCAGCTTGCTCCATAAAGGTCACACACTCCCAACGCGTTTCGTCCCGGGCTTAACCATGGAGGGACCCCTAAGCATTATCAGGGTCACAGGGGAAGCTGAGACACACAAAGATGGATATGAACACCCATGACAAGAGCAAAGCCAGGAATTATAGCAGAGATCCCATGGTTGTAGCACTCAAGAAGCCAGGGCTGACTTAGCTCACCAAGCTCCAACTGTAACTAAAATATCAACTTTGGGTAGAGTGATCTTAGGACACAACATCCTATCTGAGGCAATGAGAGTTAGATCAGCTTAGATGGACAATAGAGAGAGGTGTCCCGGTCGTTGCACACCTCACCTGACCAGGTGGAAGCAGCCTCAGCTTGCTCCATAAAGGTCACACACTCCCAACGCGTTTCGTCCCGGCCCCGGGGCCTAACCATGGAGGGACCCCTAAGCATTTTCAGGGACACAGAGAAAGCTGAGACACACAAAGGTGGATGGGAACACCCATGACAAGAGCAAAGCCAGGAATTATAGCAGAGATCTCACGGTTGTAGCACTCAAGAAGCCAGGACTGACTTAGCTCACCAAGCTCCAACTGTAACTAAAATATCAACTTTGGGTAGAGTGATCTTAGGACACAACATCCTATCTGAGGCAATGAGAGTTAGATCAGCTTAGATGGACAATAGAGAGCGGTGTCCCGGTCGTTGCACACCTCACCTGACCAGGTGGAAGCAGCCTCAGCTTGCTCCATAAAGGTCACACACTCCCAACGCGTTTCGTCCCGGGCTTAACCATGGAGGGACCCCTAAGCATTATCAGGGTCACAGGGGAAGCTGAGACACACAAAGATGGATATGAACACCCATGACAAGAGCAAAGCCAGGAATTATAGCAGAGATCCCATGGTTGTAGCACTCAAGAAGCCAGGGCTGACTTAGCTCACCAAGCTCCAACTGTAACTAAAATATCAACTTTGGGTAGAGTGATCTTAGGACACAACATCCTATCTGAGGCAATGAGAGTTTGATCAGCTGACTGTGGTGAAACGATAACCAGTGCTGGTCCTGAACTAAGTAGAGTTGTCCATCAGGGTGGAGACATGGGTCACTCTTCCATTATCTTGCTCTAATACACATCCTCTATGATTCTGTATTTCAGACCAGTTGATCCTTCAAACGGCACCCTACATTCATGAAGGCGATCGATTGATGCTGAAATGTCACCACAAATCTGGAAATACTGCAACACGGAGTAAATTTTTTAAAAATAAAGCTGAAATAAGAGGTTGGGATACAGATCATCTGTTTTTGGGTGCCAGATATAACCATCAACGCATCCGGTACGTACAGCTGTATAAAAGAGATATCTCAGGATTCCAGGACTTCTCAGTACACTGCGTATGCTACCGTAAAAGTCAAAGGTAAGGCCTGCATACTGAATTTGGGGTAGAGATCGAGGTTTTACCTCTTGCTGTGCTATTTATGCTTCATGGCATTTTAATTGGGGAAACCATTAAAGTATTACCCCGGAGCCCCATGTTCCCCATGAAAAAGAGCCCTGCTACAATTAAAGTTCCTAAACCCTGGACCCTACTTTCACTATGTCTGGTCTCTTACAGTACATTGAACATGGAAGTGCAATTGTGTTAGTAAATATAAACTGTTAAATACCTTTTCCCATCAGCAGTTAGAGCAGTCCTGTGACTTCTATGAGTGTCCAGCAGAGCACTGGTTAAAGCTTGTAGGAGCTTTCATTTTGCTCTAGGACAGGGGTCTCCAAACTTTCTAAGCAAAGGGCCAGCTTACTGTCCTTCAGGCTTTAGGGGGGTTGGACTGTGCCCAGTGGTGTCGGTGGGAGGAATAGTGCCCCATCATTGGTGTCAATGGGAGGGATAGTGCCCCATCATTGATGTCATTGGGAGGAATAGTGCCCCATCATTGGTGTCAATGGGAGGGATAGTGCCCCTTCATTGATGTCAGTGGGAGGAATAGTGCCCCATCATTGGTGTCGGTGGGAGGAATAGTGCCCCAACATTGGTGTCAGTGGGAGGAATAGTGCCCCATCATTGGTGTCAGTGGGAGGAATAGTGCCCCATCATTGGTGTCAATGGGAGGAATAGTGCCCCATCATTGGTGTCAGTGGGAGGAATAGTGCCCCATCATTGGTGTCAATGGGAGGAATAGTGCCCCATCATTGGTGTCAATGGGAGGAATAGTGCCCCATCATTGGTGTCAGTGGGAGGAATAATGCCCCATCATTGGTGCCAGTGGGAGGAATAATGCCCCATCATTGGTGTCAGTGGGAGGAATAGTGCCCCATCATTGGTGTCAGTGGGAGGAATAGTGCCCCATCATTGGTGTCAGTGGGAGGAATAATGCCCCATCATTGGTGTCAGTGGGAGGAATAGCGCCCCATCATTGGTGTCAGTGGGAGGAATAGTGCCCCATCATTAGTATTACTGGGAGGAATAGTGTCCCAACATTGGTGTCAGTGGGAGGAATAGCGTACCATCATTGGTGTCAGTGTGAGGAATAGCGCCCCATCATTGGTGTCAGTGGGAGGAATAGTGCCTCATCATTGGTGTCAGTGGGAGGAATAGTGCCCCATCACTTGGTGTCAGTGGGAGGAATAGTGCCCCATCATTGGTGTCAGTGGGAGGAATAGTGCCCCATCATTGGTGTCAGTGGGAGGAATAGTGCCCCATCATTGGTGTCAGTGGGAGGAATAGTGCCCCATCATTGGTGTCAATGGGAGGGATAGTGCCCCTTCATTGATGTCAGTGGGAGGAATAATGCCCCATCATTGGTGTCAGTGGGAGGAATAATGCCCCATCATTGGTGTCAGTGGGAGGAAAAGTGCCCCATCATTGGTGTCAGTGGGAGGAATAGTGCCCCATCATTGGTGTCAGTGGTAGGAATAATGCCCCATCATTGGTGTCAGTGGGAGGAAAAGTGCCCCATCATTGGTAACTCCCTCCTCATTGGCCTAAATAATCACAGGCTATCCCCTCTTCAGTCTATCATGAATGCTGCTGCCAGACTCATCCACCTTACTAACCGTTCTGTATCTGCCACCTCTCTCTGCCAATCCCTCCACTGGCTTCCCATTGCCCAACCAATAAAATTCAAAACATTAACAATAATATATAAAGCCATTTATAATTCTGCCCCAAATTACATCACCAATCTTGTCTCTAAATATCACCCAAACCCTCCTCTCCACTCCTCCCACGACCTCCTGCTCTCTTGCTCCATTGTCTCCTCCTCCCATGCTCATCTCCAGGACTTCTCCAGAGCCTCACCCCTCCTCTGGAACTCTCTACCCCAATTTATCAGACTATTGCCTACTCTGCTCACTTTTAGGCGATCCCTGAAAACCTATCTCTTCGCCCCACCGGCAAGTGAGAAGAGGGGAGCGTGAGTCCGAGTGATTCCAGTGTCAGCCAATACAAGTGAAAGGATGGACGCTGCTCAACCGACCCCAGGAGCCCAATGTTGAGGAATGGCCTCAGCTGATGTTCTGGCCACTCCCTCTCGGCGGCTGAGGCCATTGTTCAACATTGGACTCCTGGGGTCAGAGTAGGGGGCAGCACAGCGATCTCATCATTTTGCTGCACTGTCCAATCACAAATTTTTTAACATTTTGTTTTTTTACTTTTTTTTTTTTTAATTTAATACCCTTTCTTGTGTCCACTTCCTAGATATCCTGAAGGTACTGATGATGCAGCTTCAGCTGCACTAATGCCCCTGGGATGGAAACGTCATCAGTGTCTTCAGAGAGATCTTGTACCTGATCGACTTTGCAGTATTGTTGTACTGCCCATGGGCAAGATGAAATGCGTGACCGCATGAGGCTCATCTCCTGCATGCCCCATATGATGTTAAAATGTATCTGTTTAAAAAAAAAAAGCCTTCCCCCCGAGACCTAATAGACAATTGTACCATTGTACAGCGGATGTGTAAAATGAGCCACAGGAAGACATGCATTCCATCTCACGCATGTGCAATAGGACCATATTACAAGCTGACCCTGGAAAGGATTAGAAAAAATGGCAGCGTGGGAGCAAGGTACAGCATGAAGGTAGGTAAGGGTACTTGCCCACACGGAAGAAATATATATTTTAAAAATATTCTTCCCAAATATATTGACATATATTTGAAATACTACAATTTTGGCCATATTCAATATATTTCAACATATATTTCAATAAATAAATATATATATATATATACCGTATATACTCGAGTATAAGCCGACCCGAATATAAGCCGAGGTACCTAATTTTACCACAAAAAACTGGGAAAAACTATTGACTCGAGTATAAGCCGAGGGGGGAGGAATAGTGCCCCATCTTTGGTGTCAGTGGGGGGAGGAATAGTGCCCCATCGTTGGTGTCAGTCGGGGGAGGAATAGTGCCCCATCATTGGTGTCAGTGTGGGAGGAATAGTGCCCCATCGTTGGTGTCAGTGGGAGGAATAGTGCCCCATCATTGGTGTCAGTCGGGGGAGGAATAGTGCCCCATCGTTGGTGTCAGTGTGGGAGGAATAGTGCCCCATCGTTGGTGTCAGTGGGGGGAGGAATAGTGCCCCATCGTTGGTGTCAGTCGGGGGAGGAATAGTGCCCCATCATTGGTGTCAGTGTGGGAGGAATAGTGCCCCATCGTTGGTGTCAGTCGGGGGAGGAATAGTGCCCCATCATTGGTGTCAGTGTGGGAGGAATAGTGCCCCATCGTTGGTGTCAGTGTGGGGAGGAATAGTGCCCCATCGTTGGTGTCAGTGTGGGAGGAATAGTGCCCCATCGTTGGTGTCAGTGGGGGGAGGAATAGTGCCCCATCGTTGGTGTCAGTGAGGGGAGGAATAGTGCCCCATCGTTGGTGTCAGTGTGGCAGGAATAGTGCCCCATCATTGGTGTCAGTGTGGGAGGAATAGTGTCCCATCGTTGGTGTCAGTGGGGGGAGGAATAGTGCCCCATCGTTGGTGTCAGTGGGGGGAGGAATAGTGCCCCATCGTTGGTGACCCCTGCTCCAGCCTGGGCTCGCTCGCTCCCTCCCTCTCCCATGGTACACACTTACCGGTCAGATGTCTTCCTTCTCCGACCGCTCTCCTCCTCTTCACTCGCTCGATCTTCGCGGTGCCGCTCGGCTCCTCCTCTCCAAGCTCCACCTCCTCGCCGGTGATTGGGCGCCTGTGTGCCTCTCCTGAGCTATAGTTCCGGCGGCCAATCACCGGCGAGGATTGATCCCGGGGGTGTGTCCAGATGACAGGGACGGCATGTCATCTGCAGACGTTGACTCGAGTATAAGCCAAGGGGGCCGTTTTTCAGCACAAAAAATGTGCTGAAAAACTCGGCTTATACTCGAGTATATACGGTATATGCAGTATGTTGAAATGCGTTTTTATTACAAAATATATGAAAAATATTTTTAAAAATACATTTCTTAAATGTACTGTATGTCTTTAAAAATACAAATCTAAATTTTTGGAATGCATTTACAAATATATGTAAAAATATATGTTAAAATTACTTTTTTATATATTAAAAAAATCTGAAGAATATATTTTAAAAATATATTTTTTTACATATATTTGTAAAGGCATTCCAAAAATGTAGATTTGTATTTTTAAAGACATACAGTACATTTGAAATGTATTTTTAAAAATATTTTTCATATATGTTGTAATGAAAACACATTTCAACATGGCGTGGGTGTATATATATTTCAATAAATAAATAAACATACACACACACATATATATATATATATATATATATATATATGTGTGTTTATTTATTGAAATATATTTTGAAATATATTGAATACGGCCAAAATTGTAGTATTTCAAATATATTTGGGAAGAATATTTTTAAAATATATTTAAATATATGTTTCTTCCATATGGGGATCCTGATCCTGGAAGGGATTTGAAGAAATGGCAGCAAGGCACAGCAGGAAGGTAGGTAAGGGTACTTTATTATATTTTAGGAGGGGGAATCCTCTCTAAGGCCGGCCATACATGGGTCGATTTCCGAACGATTGGCCTGGACAGGAATGGGGTATAAGTGTCCGGACTTGAAGTGGTTAAAAAGGAGCCAAACTACGTGATAATAAATGGCAGTTTTTTGGCATTACCAGTCATATTTTCCATATAAATGCCGAAATTTCACCATTTCTACCAGTGGATTGCAAACTTTTGAGCCATCTGTAGACAGATAGTTAGACAGACAGACAGACTGCAGTAGTAGAAAGAAAGCCTCTGGGTCTATGTAACAGTAGAAAAGGTCCTGGAACCCACCAAGCCCACATCTAGTGTAAATGGGTTCCTAAGTCCCAGAAGGCCCTTGTACGGCGGCACAGTCTGCAAAAATGGAATGTCCAGCCCCTTCGCATAGCCAGTTGCAACGTTCCATCCTTTCTCCTTT